CACGGTGAATTGATGAGTACAGTGCTAAACACAAATAAGAGATTTCAGTTAAGAGAGAGATCACAAAATTTATGCTCAGCTATACGTAATGAGCAGCCCTGGTGGTGCAGTGGTTAAGAGGTCCAGCTGCTAGCCTAAAAAGGTCAGCAGTTAGAATCCACCAGCGGCTCCTTGGAAACACTACGGGCAGTTCTACTCTGTCCTATAGGGTCGCTGTGAGTCGGAATCGACTGGACAGGAATGGGCCTGGTTTGATTTTTGGTTTTATACATAACAAGCCACCTTGATTCTCTCTTTATAAATACACTTGAGTATAGGATGAATGAATTTGTAAGAAAAGACATCATGAGAATGTCATGCCATAAAACACAGCAAACTTGTAAAGAGTGATTTATAGAGACATATTCTGAATCAACCTTTCACCTTTTGAGCCTACTTTGCTTCTGACTTGTTCACAATTTTGATATTACAGGAAATCTAGTTAGTTACCAGATTTATAAGGGCAAATGTGATCTGGTCCCTGGCTTCCCCGCTGACCTCACTTCCCACAACTCTCTGCCTTGCTCGCTGTACTCCAGCTACGCTGGCCTCACTGTTCTTCGGACATCTGAGCAAGCTCCCGTCACCCGGCCTTTGCACGTGCCGCCCCTCCGCCCAGCCAACTCTCTCCTCAGATACGTTTACGTGGCCATTTCTCCACTGACTTCGGGTCTCTTCTGTCCCGTTTTTCTCCTCAGGATGCCTTCCCACACCCTGCCCCTGTCACGCTCTATCCCGATTCTCCTTTCTTTCTCCTTCACCTATCATCACCCAACATTACTGTTTTTGTTGACAGCTGCCGTCAAGTCGGGCCCCCACTCATGGCGACCCCACGCACAACGGAACGAAAAGCTGCCTGGTCCTGCCTCATTCCGCATGCTTGTTTGCAGACTGGACCGTTGGGATCCACAGGGTTTTGGGCTGATTGTCGGATGTAGATCACCAGGCCTTTCTTCCTAGTCTGTCCACTGAAACCTGTTCAGCACAATAGCAAGACATAAACCTCCACCGACAGATAGGTGGTGGCTGTGCTTCGGGTGCGCTGGCTGGGACTCGACCCCGAGTCTCTTGCACGGAAGGTGAGCATTTTACCAGTGAGCCACCTACGTCCCCTTCCAACATTGCGCCGTTGTTAGACGCCATCGAGTCGATTTCGACTCACAGTGACCCCATGTGACAGGCAGAACTTCCCTACAGGGTTTTCTAGGCCGTAATCTTTACAAAGGCGCAGGACCAGGCAGTGTTTTGTTCTGTTGTCCGTGGGGTTGCTATGAGTCGGAACTGACTCGACAACACCTAACACCAACCTTTACCAGAGCAGATCTCCGAGTCTTTCTCCTGCAGAGTCGCTGGATGGGTTCAAGCCCCATCAGCCTCTCAAAGGCTCCAAGATCTAATTTCTGGGCTTATTAGGAAGGAATGGAACTTCACCAGTACAGATCGAGCCACAATAACACGCAGTTTCTCTGGGTCATTTGTACAGCGTAGAACTCAGCCTTTACTGTGTGTGAAATACGCACACATCATTATCTGATGTAGAGACATACCCCTTTACGAAGGAAGAAGCATGCGCAGAGCAACCCATCAAATAAGTACCTGGAAGGTGCTACGGCTGAGCACCTAGGGCTCTGAGAGCACGCCAGATCCCACCGCAGCTTGTACCTCTGGCTGCTTGTCCGCCCCTTCATCGTTCCTACCCCACAACCACACCAGACCACGTGGTGTCCTGCCTCCCCTTTGCTTCCATCTTCCGCATCTGGCAAACCCAGCTCCCAGCCAGCTGCCCTCTAAAATCTCCCGTTACCTTGTCAGGCAGGACTAATCATTCCCTGATCTAGGACCACAGCCATGGGTACACACTTCTAATCAATAACCGATCAAGTCTAACTGACTCGATGTGGCATCACTCACACCAGTAAGTGGCAGAGGCTCATCACAGTACGTACCTAGTAACATTTTTCACTGGACGGAATTTTAGATAACTTAAATTATTATTCCAAAAGAATTTAAGATGGTTTATAATATCAAAAACAGCAGAGTTAAAACAAAGAGTTTAAACATGTCACTTAAAAGATTCATTTCCTGGCCTATCAGACTTACAGAAGACCAATTCGTTTTATATGTTGGAATTCTTAAAGACATGATCTCCTTTTAGTATTTTCTTGCTTATGGACAATCAGCTTCATTTTTTAATACAGTGTTTTCCTTTATTCCTTCATCCAAAAAAAACCGATTATGACTTACTTGTCTTAATTCTTGGACTTCATCCTTCAATGCATATACAGTATCAACAAGACTCCTGAAATAGGAAATAAACACATAAATAAGGACGAGGAATGAGGAAAATACACTGAAGCTCTTTACCAAAAGAAAGCCTGATGCTACAATGCCAAATGAAATAAACAGTGTTCTCTGCCCTGCTTAACACAGTCTCTCAATTCATATGCTTTCAAGCAACCTAATTCTGTGTATGGTAGGTTAAATCCTAGTCAAGGATAACGGCAATTTATGAAGAGAGAAAAAGAAGTGCCCGAAGTCACACCCAAGCCCTCAAGAACTTTTCTGACTCCAGTACCACTCCTTCACAGAGGCTGCATGCCAGCTTGAAAATACTGGAAGACATCTTACTTTTCTTCTATCACTGTCTGACCATTACTTTTAGTTTCTTCTACTATAATTTTCTCTTCTTCCGGAAGCAAAACTTGTGGAGCAGATTCTTTGCGTGAACCTAGGATTATTAAAAAAAAAAAAAAAAACTGCAGATGAACACCATGACCGTACTAAGAAAAACAACTTGACTATAAACACTAGTTAAATTAAACTCCAGGGACTGCGCATGAAAACGTTTTCATCAAGACAAAACAGGTAAGGACATCTTTTACCAATTTTTACTACCTCTGTCCTACTGGACCCACAGTCTTTTTCCTGCCTAAGGCAGTACAGAGGAAAGAAAATACGAGGCTTTTTGCGATTTATTAAACTTCAGTTTCCAAATCTGGATCATGGCTCTTTTAAATCCTGAAATAGTCACCAGGTGGTGGGTTAAAGGATCTGACTATATTTCCCTAGATAATCAATCAAATTTTGAGCCACTATATTATTTCAAGTATTTCAGAAAGACATATCAGACCAGGTAGACAATATGCAGTGAACGTTTATAAATTTAAAAACTGGTAATAAAAACATCTAAGTCTACAGTGACATTTAAGAATAAAAATATTCTGACACATGCTGTAGAAAAAGTGAAATTTAACTCTTGGTTCTTTTATGAAAACTGGAGTATAAACATTTTTTGCAAACAAAAGGAAGTAAACTGTTCACGATGTCAGAGAAACTTTTATCCCATTTAGCCAATACCTAGTGCAGTATCGTGCAAAAAACAATCTCTCAATGTTTATTTTAAAGTATGTACTTTAGAAATTAATTGGGAAGCCAAATATTTATTTTAAAAGGTGAGAAAAAGAATCAAATCTTAGTTAAAGATGCAAGGAAGAAAATGATCTCTTCTTAAAATATTTGCTTAAAGATTATACAACACCATAATATATCATTAATGTTTCTGAAAAAAATGCATCGATGTAAATTTGAGTAAGGATAGAACCTATCACAAATAGAAACTCCCAAGTGCAACTGTGATCCTTCCACGAAAAAATACACTCATTTTGGTGAATAAGCGAATTAATTATGGAAATGGTGCTTCAACTTTACTGATTTTTGTTTTTTTCTGGTTTGCCCTTCAGTCTGTCTTCCTAAAGCTTCATGAGATTACAAGAATCACACCTGAGTCTCCTCATTATCATGGGAAAGTTCAGGATAATAAAAATGTTTTAAAGATATGATCTGAAGGAACGGTTTTATCAGTATTTTATTTTACGCTTTACTCCTCTGACTGGAACAAGATCAGTAATGACTACCAAAGCTTGAAGACATGGCTTCATAAAATGGCACTGACATTCAAAGGGCATCTTTCACCATTTCCAAGGCAGCACGCTAGAGGGCAGAGTCTGAGTTTACAGGCCACGTGATCTCGGGAGAATCACAATCTCTCTAGGTTGCCTTTTCCACATCTGCTAAATGGGGCGCTAACATCTGCTCTGGAGTCCTTCCCTGGGTGGTGCTAACAGTTAAGCACGCTTCGTTAACCAAAAGGCTGGCGGTTCAAACCACCCAGAGCTGCCTTGGAAGAAAGGCCTGGCAGTCTACTTCTGAAGGACTACAGCCATTGACAACCCTGTGAAGCACAGTTCCACTGTGGAACACACAAGGCCACCACGAGTCGGAACCTACTCGACAGCAACTGGTCTTTTCTTTCTGTAACACCTGCTCTACCGCCTGTCTCACAGGCTGCTGTGCGTCCAAACACGCCAACACTGTGAAATCACAGTCAAGCCGTGAACAGTAACAGGAGACCGCTCCCCCGCTTTGTAGCTTCACTATCAGAAGACAGTAACAAGTTCTCGGTAGGCAATCAAGTGCAATTTTATGTTACACAGGACAAGTTTCAAGATATATATAAATACATAAAGGGAAGAGCTTTATGAGCATTGAGAATAATTTTAGCATGTGATCAAATGCAGTACACAGAATTTTGTCATAAGCTGTAATGAGCTAATACATTCTAGTATATTTATAAGTAAGTTTGTCAGCTATTTCAACGATGACCCCTCCACTGACGTTTTATGTAAAAAGCAAAAAAAAAAAAAAAAACCCAAAACCCCAAAGAACCAAAACCAAAAAATCTCCCAAGAAAAACAAACATCAAAAAAACCTCACACTACGAGTCAGAATTGACTCAACGGCAATGGATTTGGTTTTTTATACGACAAATACTGCATCAACAGTTTGTTAGGGTGAGGGAAGCACCGCTTTGTCCATAGCTCCTCTGCAGTGTTACACACTGTTCTTTCACATAGCGTTCTGCAGTCCGGGAATGGTATTTCAGACAGAATGTAACATTGGTGAACACAGCGTCCCAGAAAGGGTCACATTTTTAAAAACGGCATTTTGTTGACAACAGGGTCTCCCCAGAAATCTCTCATGGAATCCAGAAAACAAAGCTGGAAGTTCACCCTCTGAATGACAGAAGGATGACACAGTGCTGCCTGCACGAGTGCCCAACAGGCTCCCTGAGATCACCAGGCTCTGCGGGCTGCAGGGCTGCAAGGTGATTACATGGTTTCTTCCAGGTCTTTCCTGGCTAATGGGGAATATTTTTGGGGTATCTGGGCCATAGGGAAAGGACTGTTTAAGAAAGAAACTGATATGTGAACCAAGTTATAAAGTACATGAGACTTGTTAGGTTAGGACAGCTAAAGGTGAAGGGACATCTTGTGCTTCTGCTAAAAATGCAAATGTTATCCACGTTTTTATAAGCAAAAGTTAATTCCTGTGCTATTTCCGCAGAAAAATGCAAAAGAACTTCATAAACATTCACATCTCTATACGGTATGTGTAGAAAATAAGCTGTTTCATTTAATTTTCCCTGCAAAGAGAAGCAAACTGATAAGGTCAGACAATTTAGTCAAGCCATAAATTTTCCCACGGTTATCAATTACCCGGTTATACTGCTTTGAGTCCAAACAGATGATGACCACGTTGTATTCAAACCAAAAGGGTATCAGTTGTCCATCTGTCACACTTCATTTACAATGCACATTTCTTAAAATAGATTAGTCAACGAGACAACAGACTGAAAAACATTTTTATGCAACTGTACTCCAGGAAGATTGAATTCTATAATTTCTT